AACCTCAGCCAGAACACTGAAGATGGGTCATGGATGGGTCTTCCAGCATGACAATGACTGAAACATACCGCCAAGGCAACAAAGGAGTGGCTGAAAAAGAAGCACATTAAGGTCATGGAGTGGCCTAGCCAGTCTCCAGCCCGCAATTGCAGGGGATCAAATAAATATTTCCTCCACTGTATTTTATATTAGCATTATTTTACTGACAAATGTCGAGAGCGCACTGTTGTAGCGTGAAAGTACACTAATATGATGCGCGAGCGCGAATCTCTCCGCTCACACGTGGATTTCCTTTGCTCTCGTACAAAACCCGACACGCCCTCTCAGATATACGCTGCTCTCACCCAGAGAGTGTGCGCGCACTTAAAACGTGTCCATTGCAATCGCGAATCTCTGCTCTCGCTCAAAGTGTGAGTGTGTGCACGCTTAAAGTTTACTCACGAGAAACTTAAATATTAAGTTTCTCGTGAACACGCGACAGTTTCTTGTGCGCACGTGAAAGTTTCTCGTGAGCACGCAAAAGTTTTTTGTGAGCACGCAAAAGTCTGTGTATTTTTTATTTTTGCAAAGATCCCTTTAAGGGCTCCATACAAAAGCAATGATTTTGCAATTCCATGGCCAATGTAATCTGAGTGTAATTTATTTTGCATAAATAAATTAGCCATAGCTTTAATTAGGGATTATAACGATTAACCGCGAGCCGGTTGAAAATCGATTTAAATATGTGACGATTCAAATCGGTTGAGATGCTAAACAAATTGCGATTCATTTAGGGGTAGGAGTTTATATGTCTGAGGGGAACTTACTGTCTTTAGAAAAGTTTAGATGGTATTTTTTCTTTTCATCTTGCCTCTGTCATTTGTCTTAAATCTCATTTTGTAAAAAAAAAATTAAAATACAAATCGTGAAACGAATCGAATCGTGAAATCAAAATCGTGAATCGAATCGTGAGTTGAGTGAATCGTTACATCCCTAGCTTTAATTTATTTGCAAGTGTGAGCTCGCGATACCGTTTTTTCCCTTTGGGTTTCACGTTTCTGCGTGATTTAATAAAAGGAAACGATCCACTCACATGCCTCTGCTCAACGATGGTGCCTTAATCAGTTGTGATCTGCTTCTCAGGCCAATGACGTAAATTCCAGAGAGGCATGTCCAGGCCTGTTGTACACGACCTAGTACCTTGACTCCACCCCCATGACAAAACAATAGGCTTGTTTGAGATGCATCTGCGCTGCGCAGACCGACCAAATGACATCAAAGTACCGCGAGAGCGATTCAAAAGCTTAAAGAGTCGTCTGCTCTCCAATCACTCTCGCGGTACTTTGATGTCATACTCTGATCGGTCTGCGCAGCACCGACGCATCTCAAACAAGCCTAATAAGTGTGTTCAACTTGAAGCAGCGCTGCGCATACCGATCGCTGTATGACATCAAAGACACTCTAGAGAGCAGACGCCCCTTATGCTTTCAAATTGCTCTCGCGGTACTTTGATGTCATACGCCAATCGGTCTGTGCAGCGCCGCTTCAAGTTGAACACACCTATTGCCAGAAAGTGAAATGCACCGAAATGTGAAGCGCAAAGGGAAAAAACGGTATCGCGAGCTCACACTTGACTGAAACGCAAAATAAAAGCAGCATTGCAAATAAATTAGTAGCTATGGCCATGGAAAATATGTTGCAAAATCATTGCTTTTGCTCGGTTTCATTAATATTTTGCAATTCTTTATTATTGTTTGCAAATATTTTTCTCACAATACTTCATTTTCTTTTGCAATTCATTATTTTTGTTTGCAAAAAGCACATTTATTTCATTCTCAATACTTTCATTTTCATTTGCAAAACTTTCTTTTCTTTTGCAAAACTTCAATTCGTTTGCGAATATATGTGGCATTGAATTGACTCCATACCTTTGGAACAAGAAGTGTTGTGAAAAATAAACTGAAAATGACTTGAAATTGAACTGAACACAAAGGCTTGTATGGTCTCAAAGAACAAAAACATTGGAACTGCTGAGAACAAATAAAGAATTGCTGGGTCTTTGGTTGCTAAATACAGTGTTAATTCAGTTAACTGGACACGTCATGGGAACTCTATAAAATTAGATTAATCTTCTATTTTTGTTGTCAGTCAGGTCAAGTTCAAAAGGCCAGGTTAGGTAGAACGTCAACAGTGAAGATAATGCAGGCTAGCATCAGTGTTATGTGGCTAACTGTGATTCTTTAACCAGATGAAAATGAGAAAAAAAACATGATGTCCAAACATTAAAATGTTGGCTACTTTAATGCTGTAGTATAACTTTATTGTCAAAGATTTCTCATGCCATGAAAACTAAACATTTGATAAATCACAAGGAACACGAGGTGAGGAATAACAGACTGTAAGTATGTACCACTTGATAATTTAAATCAGTGTTACTTATTACTTGTGTTTTAAAATTTAACTTGGCACTTTTAGATAAGAGGATTTTTAGAAAGTGATCTCATTCAGACAAGATTCAGTACATCTTAACAATGCCAACAATAACTAGTGTCTACAAAACATTAGTTTCATTAGTTTCAATGCAGCCACACTCTGTGAGTTTCTTCTTGGCTCTCAGGATGAAGTTAACGTTCCCTCTGTTCTTCATGTTGGAAGCATATTCATGAGACTTCAGTTTGGCATAGTAATCAGAGAACTTATTAAAGAGCATGGAGATAGGAAGGCCATTCAAAATGATCCCAAAGGAAATGCAGCCAAAGGCAAATATGCGGCCCAAAAGGGTCTCCGGATACATGTCATCATAGCCTACAGTAGAGATGCTAACCTGGAACAAGAAAATATTGGTAAACTGATAAAAATTATAATTCTCTCATCATTTACCCAACCTTATGTGACTTTCCCAAACCCCTTATGAGTTTCTTTCTTACATAGAAAACCAATGGAGAGGTTTAGCAGAAAGTGCATGGAGACCATAAGTGGTAAAGCACAAAAACACCTTGAAAGCTTCATAAAAGTAGTTCAAAAGGCTTTTTTGATTTTCCAAGTCTGAAGATGTATAATAGCTTTGTGTGAGAAACTTGAAAATTCACCATTCACTTTCATTGTTATGGAAAAGAGCAGCTTGGACATTGTGCTGTTGAGTGCAACAGTGCCCATTTAGCCTTTTTAGCAGCCTTGGAATTATTTTTCCCAATAATTCTTCCCATAGGGGTTGCAAAATGTCTTTGTTAAGGAGTTATATGAACCAAACCGACCAGCTGAAGTGAACCACAACACTGCAGACTTTGTTTCGAGGTAAAGAAGTATTTGAAAATTGGACCAAAAGACTAAGCATATTGGAATGATCATGTGACACTGAAACTGTATATATATATATATATATATACTGTATATATAAACAATATATTTATTGCTAAATATGCATATTATGCATACAAATGCTTAAGTAATTTTAGAGCGTAGGGATACTGACTAAATTACGTCAAACGCAATGCTTCATGGGAGTAGACAATTCTTTTGGTGCAATTTGCTTGTCACGATTCTCTGATGGCTAGAGATTTATCTGCAGAATTATGGGTAATGTAGTTTTCCATGAGGAATTCCACTCTTAAAGATTATCATTTTTAATATAAAATGAAATTACAACATTTGTTGGAATAATGTATACTGATCGCTTCAACATTAGCATATACCGTCAATTAACAACCTTGGAGCTCACAGTAGGTCTTTCTTTAAAGGGGTCATATGATGCGATTTCAAGTTTTCCTTTCTCTTTGGAGTGTTACAAGCTCTTGGTGCATAAAGAAGATCTGTAAAGTTGCAAAGACTAAAGTCTCAAATCCAAAGAGATATTCTTTATAAAAGTTAAGGGTCAGCCACGCCTACCTAAAATGGCTCGTTCTAACACGCCCCCACATGTCTATGTCACGATGTGGGAAGATTTGCATAACACCACCCAAATGTTCACTAATGTACAGTATTTGAAAAATAATGTGTTTTTTTAACATTAAAGCATGTCAACATATTCTGTTACACCAAATACACAAAATAATGATCTTTAAAATAGCATCATATGACCCCTTTAAAGGTTCGCAATTTTTCAAAACCAATTCCCCTATAGAGAAAATGACTGGTATTTTACTTCCAGAACCCACCACTCTTTAAATATCTCCTTTTGTGTTTTCCAAAGAAAAAAGTAAGTAATACTGGTTTTAAAAGACATGAAAGTGAGTAATTCAACATCAACTATATCATATCTGCATGATTAATAGAAATAAAGTTTACTTACAGATGCCCACCACCAAGAATGTGGAATACTGGTGAATTTGGGGGACGTCGTGTTCAACAGTATAAACCATGGCGGAGAATGTAAAGATCCCCATGCCGATAAAGAGGAAGAGACATCCCACCTGCTGGTAGCACTGCCTCAACGTGAAGCCAAATGCTCTGAGCCCCGTAGAGTGACGCGCCAGTTTCAGAACCCGAAAAATACGCATGAGTCGCATGATTCGTAATACTTGTCCCATCTTGCTCACCTGACCAACAGTCTCCATGTCAGTGGTTTGTTTCCTAGAACCAAAGGTCTCAAAGCTTTCAAGAGCAAATTGGAGAAACTGTGGCAAGATGGCCATGAGGTCAACCGTGTTCAGAATGCTCTTAACGAAGCGACCGATATCTGGGGTTGAAACTAGACGCAGCAGGTACTCAGAGGTGAAGAAGGTTATGCACAGAGTCTCGACAAACTCTCCATATGTCTTTCCTCTAAACTCGTTAGTAGATGCCATGTTCTGCATTTCGTCTACCGTAGTCAAAGTCATCGTAACCAGTGACACCAGCACAAACATACTCGAGGCGACCACCATTAGTTTCGCCGGTATCGAGGAGAACGGTTTCTCCATGAAGTTCCAAAACGAGCATCTCGTCTCGCTGAGGAACATGTTATCAAACGCCTCCTCGTTTTCTTCGATTTCCACCTCCTCCTCCAGTTCCTTCTGAACCTTGAGCTGTACGCACAACTCGTCGTGTTTCTCCTCGAGCAGGATCCGACAGCACCGTTGCGAGTATTTGATCCGAACGCCCCAGTAATTGATCTCTTCCAAGAAGTTCCTCGGACAAAGCTCGTCCTTGATCCACAGCACGCCGGTCCTGTAGAAGTTGAAGATGCTGTTGAAGATGTCTGGATCTCGGTCGAAGAAATACTCGTTGTCCTTCACAACGTAGTCGTCACAGAGGTTCAACTTCATGTTGAGGTCCGTATAGGTTGCCAGACGGCCAATTCTGCTCTGTGGGTATCTTGCTGCCATTTTGTAGGTGATGCGGTAGGACTTTCCACCAACGTTGAGGTTAAGCATGCAATTCCTGCTGGGTGATGCTTTTACAAACCACAACGTTGGTTCTGAATGCTTCTCAATCTCCTCATCGTCACCAAAGATTTCATAGATATCCGTCTGTAATTCGCCTAAAGAGCTCCACTGTTTTAACAAACACAGTTTAGTGAACGGAACAGCATCGTCTGTTGACTCAGAGGTTGCTAGTTTGCAGTTGGGAAAGAGGCTTTGTCTCCTGTTTCTCTGAAAGTTGAATATCCTTTCAGTCCTCCGCTATCCTCCACGAGGAGGATAGCTAGTGTTCTGTGCACCTGTAAATCTCAGAGCTTTACTGACGTTAAATCTATCCTATTTAAGTATAAAGAGGCAAGCAGGAGGCAGCACCAGAGCTCTAATGCTCTCTATAAGGAGCTAAGAGTTCAACTTAAATGTCATCATCCTTTAAGTTCTTTGAAATGGCATGCTTGCCATGTGTCGATGAATGAATGCTCTTACCAAGTTACAGATGAGTTTAAGACCCCCTTCAACACCCAATTGCTTATTCATAAACTTATTCTAAACTAGAGGCTCTTTAGCCACAGTACAGTAGTTAGAAATGGAGTGCCATATTTACTACAGGATAATAATAATAAGATTTAAACAAGTACCCAAACAGACAAAGGAATTAGTGGGCGTGAAGGAATTCATGAATGAAACTAGGAAACTATGCATTAGAGACAGAGACAGAGACAGAGAGAGAGAGATTTTGGAGTAATTAAGATTTTTTTTTATTTTTAAAGGCTCACCATGCTGTGTTTATTTGATCAAAAATACAGTAACACAGTAAAATTGTGAAATATTGTTACAATTTCAAATACTGTTTTCTATTTAAATATATTTTCAATATAATTTATTCCTGTGATGCAAAGCTGAATTTTCAGCATCATTACTCCAGTCTTCAGTGTCACATGATCCTTCAGAAATCAATTAAAGCCATTATTAATAATTTAGCACTATTATTTAATGATTATAATTGACACCAAATCACACACACACACACACACACACACACACATATATATAATGTATGCAGTGTGTTTATCTGACTTCAAAATCAAAACGAATTCAAATGGACATGAATCTAGCTTTGTAAACAATGGTAGGAGCAGGACAGATAATGCCAGATAAAGTCACTTAAGGTAACCGGGTCACTAAGACTTTCAAGCCTTAAGTTCCAACCTGATCTCATGAGAAAACATACCTATTTAACGATGTGGAGATTTGATATGAATTCGTACTATGTGAATCCAATGGAACATAGGATCTTTAGAAAAAATTCTAAATTCTACCCCACCACTAAATTCATACAAATTAGCCAATAATTCACCAAAATTGTTATGAATTGTCAAAAGAGTGTGTTGTTAAGTTTAATTACTGAGCTCATAATTCCTGTTAACTTCGCAGGTGCATTTTTGACATGTGCTTCTTATATTGCTACAATGTTTATGACTTTTTCTCCACTTCTTCACACAGGGCCATGTAGTTTTGGATTTTGTTTTCCCTTAATAATAAAAACCTTCATTTAAAAACGGCATGTTGTGTTTACTTGTGTT